TGCTCATATTCGTCGTTACAATCAATGTTAAATTTGGTCGTGATGCTGAACTCAATGAATTGGGTTGCGTGAACAACTTCCAATTGCTATAAGCGTTTTCATTCTGCAGTTGCTGCATGTGATAATAATGAACAATAACAGACCATAATAATATTTTCACGAACAATTCTATCTTACAGACGTTATACAGCAAACAGATTTTATTTGCAGTTTGATTTGTTAGTTTACTATCGCATATTTCAAATTTAAATTTATTTTGCCTATAAAGATTTCGTAGTTGTTTGTACTTTGTTCATAAAGCGCATTCTCATTCTATTGCAAAATATTGTAAACTACCCCAGCTTAAGCGAACAACTACAAGACAAATAATTCAAGGAAGTAGCTCATCGCTTAATATTATTATATCATTAGATAGTCCACAGTGCCCTCTAGTAAACATCCAAGTATGGTCGTAAAATAACAAAAATCATTGCAGGAGAAGTGATTAAACAAACAACCCCGCACCCTGAATTTGATGCCAGAGTACTGTAGAATTGTTAATCTCGTCAAATGATGTAAGAACGGTGGACAAACGTCCATAAGTTGAAAATGTAAACAAAATATTAATACAACACTGGGATTCAACCTTTTCGAATGGCTTATTTCTTTTAATCGATTCATGTGTTGACCTTTCCAAACAAGAACGGTGTAATCGACTGTGCAGACCACGGGTATGACAAATTAAAGCAGAAAAAAAATAACTGAAAAATAACTGAAGATCGATTATTTTTATTTGCGACTTTTGTGCGTTTTTGATTAACCCTTTACGACCGGCTGCTTAAGCCGTTTAATAACAATATCCCCTTCTGTGCATATTCCTTTTCTGTCGGCTGCCAAAAATTAACTAAAAAAAATATTCCTCCCTTTATATTTATTGTTTTGCTGTGACAGGGATCGGCAAAGTGTATTCTTTTAGAACGAAATTCCTTCGACACTTAATAGATCGATGTTACCGTAGTCAACACCCGGCCGTAAAGGGTTAATCATATTTTTTCTATATATAACAGTAAAACCTTTTCAACATTTTGTTTTTGTAGAGCCAACCTTTCTCTACAAAGTGAGACATCGCGCAGTTCTGGGAGATTTACTATAACCAAGTCGAAACGATATATTTTGAATGCTCCAACATCGATTATTAATCGGTGCAGGCGCTTGGACTGAATGTCGCAAGACAAAATGTCGCGGACAAAATGTCGCATGGACAAAATGTCGCAGGTCAAAATGTTGCAAGACAAAATGTCGCGGACATATCGTTGCGGACAAAATGTTGCGGACAAATTGTTATGGTCAAAATGTTGTATGGACAAATAGTTGCAAGGACAAAATGTTGCATGGACACAATGTTGCATGGACAAAACGTTGCAAAAAAAACGTCGCATGCACAAATGGTTTCACGGAACAAAATAGTTTTTCTTAATTCAATAGGTAATTGAGAAGATGAAGTTAAAGATAATGTTGGACGTTGTCTTCGAACAGTTCTTGCTAATGAATCAGATGATGGCAGACTGCTAACTGCGGTTAAAGGTAAAGAGCGTAACGACGACGGTATAATTGAACTTGCTGCTTCATTAGATGTAGTCGCTTTAATTTTAATATCATTTTTAATTTCAACAGCAGGTATTCGTTCTGGATTTGAAGCATGTGAATGTGGTGTTGGATCAGACATAAATTTATTTATCGATAAATTTGTGTGACACCGTGCTAAAAAGTAAATCAGAGTGATTTCAGTTTTGTAAAATATTTTCTGAACTTATTTACCTTTACAGTCCCGGTTTT